AAGAGAAGGACGAGGAGGCGTGAACGCAGAGATCGTAACTTAATACGAGCCAAAGCTGCAAACTCGAAATCAGATCGAGATTCAAACCCATCCGTGCAGCACGCGCCCTCAAATCGAGTCTACCAAAGTGCAATTTGCAATGTGCAACGGAAACGGTAGTAGAAGGAGCAGATACCCTCTGCTTCCTGTCGTAGCACACTTTCAACAAAAATCACATCTGCCAGGATCTTCAATTGCAGGGTGGTTTTGTTCACAGATCAGATACACTGCTGACCTCAAAAGATGCACAATTAATTGGAAAATGTCACTCACATGTAACCCTTTGTCACGCCGTTTTCCTTGGGATTTTCTTGGTTTTTTGCCCGAATTTTCAATTAAATCTTTTTCGCACTACACTTTTTAATTAGCGTGAGAATATTGTTTATTTATTTGTGATTCTGTAGTTTCTTCTCATTTATCAATCGAACTCGAGGACTATCTTTTTCCATTTTGCCGACGCTATAAACTCGAACACCGCGGACCAGTAAAAAATGTGATAAACTAAGCCCGAAGCTGGCCGTTCAACAATTAAGTGCCTTTCTCGTTAGTTGGTGCTAAGCAGGCACATTCAGAGAATTCCGAAGAGAATCGGAAAGAAAGAGCGAGCCGGGGGACACAGACCATTAAGTGTATAGAAGAAACATCTACAAGTGAGTCGGAATCTGAGGAGAGACCTCCAAAATCCGAAAAACCTTACTGATAAATAAACGTACTTTTATAAGCTTCGTGTCGGAGGATCGTGTTTCTGATCGTGTCAGGCCGACAAGTTTTTCCGAGCACTTGATCGAAAAAATATAATACTAGCTCGTGTAGTTAGTATCTGTGATGGGGCCCTCATGTGTACTATGCACCCCGCGACTGATATCTGGAGTCTATTTACTATCTATCTATTTACTAACTTAAAAACAATTTATGGAACAGGAAAAAAGCGAAATAGAATCAGCACTGTGAGAAAAATTGGAGCGGAAAGGGGGTTGAATGGGTTGGTGGTATACTGAGCTGTTAGCCACCTCGGATATATGAATGAAATCGAAGCGATAGGCCCTATCTTTATAACTGTCTTTCAAAGCCAATATAAACTTGATTATTAGTTAACAACAATGGCATAAATATGATCTAAGCCTAATTGAACTTTGACGGTATGCCCTATAAATAATAAAGTAAGTGATGATTTCTAATCATAAGTAAAATGTTAGAGGTAAAAAATAATTAAACCAATATTTCTAATTTTAGTGGGAAAAATACATTTTTAGCAGAATAACAGTAAATACCAGGAAAAGGTTCTATTCATTTCATTTTAAGATAGCCTACGTGAGTACTCCCCTTTCTTAACCCATATTTATATTTATACAATACAGTATCAGTACCTCCCGCATATCGGAACTATCTATCAGTAACCGCAGGCTCGTATTCTATACCGAAACATAAACAATGCAGTGGGAGAAGGTCCGCGCTCATAAACAATAGACCTGTGACAAGACACTGACAGTTACGCCGATAAAACAAGGCCCACTCATATACCATACCATGCCCACATACCCTGTAGAATAGGGGATCCATATTCCCATACACACGCCACTCGGTTTCCACTTAATTCGTCATCTAAATAAACAATCTCCACTAGGCGTAGTCCAGTGTCATTTATCTAAAAACAAAAGCCTTGACGTAATGTTGTAAACAAAAGACAATGCTGGGACTAGGTCGTTCAGATAAATTGGATATTTAGAGAAGTCGTTTTATAAGGGATATATAGAAAAGTATAGCACCAACGTAACTGATACTAAAAGTACCAGAAAGACTTGATAAACCGAAGACTCTACGATATAATCCTTTATCAAAAAAGTTCTATATTTATATTGAAAACTCAAGATTCAATAACAAAACGGAATACATATTGGCAATATAAAAACACCAGCCCCCTCTTCGGCCTTTTATACTGAACTACGCCTCATTCAAAAGCCCCCTTGTCTTCGGCCATATAACGTATACGCAGGGTCTGCCCAGGGCTATCATCGGCCGGCTTCTATCTAGACAACAAGGTTGGACTGTGTGCAATAGAGGCGACAAGAAACACTTTTGCTTTCGGACAGTAAAACGTCGAAATGTGTTGAGTCCGAAACGGAATCGAATCGTTGGGTATTGAAACGAGCAAATAAATGTCAAAAGTGTGTATTCGGCAATAAATTGTCGAAATTGGAAGAATAATTCGGGTGTTGTAAATCCATAAAAATATCAGGTGCGATGCATGCGCCATATCCCCGCCCCCTTCTTAACCCTCTAGCACTCCACTCTCGATGATATTTTTCGTTCTTCTGCGATGAAGCAACGCAATCAAAAAAGAACAAATTATTGAAGGAGAAGCAAGACCGCACAAGTGCACAATAAAACCGAAGTGAGACGTGCGCTCCGATAGATGATATCATCAGGAAGTACAAACATAGATTCTCTCTTTTTGAGGAGCGATTTCCATGTGTGCTTAACCCATATTTCTATAGTAGCAGCAGTGGGAGGTTTTTGATTAACCTATAATTTAATGTGCAAATCTTGCATATTAAAACTTTTTTAAGACTTTTAAGAGTAGTCAAGCCAATAGTTTTTCTTTTACATATTATATGTTATATTAAAAGAATACTAACCCGAAAAATAGTTAAGCTCACGTAGCATTAGTAAATTATCAAAGATAATTATTAAAAATTACAATACCAAGACTTACAGTGAGAATACTCTTAATAAAAATGGGTTAACCCACTTTTGGCAGAAAGACATTGGCCAGTCACTCTAAGGAAAGATGAAAACAAAAGTCAAGTAGCTGTGGGGGAACTTCATAAATAACTGCTTTATAGAGTATCCAATAGCACCGGCCATAAAACGTGTCCCACTGATAACCCAGTACACGAACACCAGTCGCATAATCTTGATCCCAATGCTTATCTGGCGTTTATCTCTCTGGCTCTGCCTGGAGCGAAAGGAACTTTTTTTTGGGTTGTGGTAGAAACTTTTGTCTACTGCAAATTGTATCTAGCACCGGCGATCTGACCAAGTTTATTCCCGAATTTAAGACGCCCAATTCGAGTCGAGTCTCCTCCCATTATCCACTCACGAGCTGTAAATTCAACGAGTGCGACACTTTTATTTTGATGTATTTATGACGCCTTAATGTGGTTGAGAAAGAACAACAGTATAGAGGTGATTGGTGTTTGAGTCTTCCATTATCAGGCGACACCGAATGTTATGTTTTATGATCCTATATATAGCTGTTTCTTGCCTAATTGAATGATATGATAGCAGGTTTTAGAAAATATTTTAATAGCTCTTAATACAATCGATTCACAGGTCATAAAAGTGCTGATACTCGGTATCGATAAGGATTTTACCATCGACCACAGGCGACACCAACCGACTGAGTAGCCAGTCGATAGTGATGGAAAGTAGTGATCATGGCAGTGCTCATGATGATGATGATATGATGGTCACGATTGCCAGGAACTTTAGGCTATCGTTTATAGATTAGCATTTTTTGTATTTTTGAGGGGTTTTTGGCAAGTGGTTTTTTGGGAACTAGTTTTAGATAGTGATGGGATTATGCGTATAATATTAAATGTCTGTTCAATAAATAAAAAATACAAATGCTATTCTTATATGAAATCATCATATATCTCGCTATGTACTTTGCACCGGAATCTGCTAACTCTATGTTCAGATCTTATCAAATCTTACTCATAAACACATTTTTCTACATTTATCCGAGTAACATGAAGTTTGCCATAAATATGTCAGCAGGAATTAAATAGAAATCTACATATTTTGAAGAAGGAGAACGAAGCTTGGAATTCCATTTAATTTTTGGCTATGTACACTGCGAAAAAATGACTATAAACTTTTAAAAAGTGTATTTATTATTTTTATAATTTTCAAGGAATATCAATTCCATTTCGTTTGACATAGTTAAGAGTATAAATTATAAACACTATGATCGCCTCAGGAATTGAAGATTTATTGACGTTCAAGTGCAATCTTTGAATCATTTATATTTTAATGCGACGAGCAAATGACGATATTGTAAATTGCATTAGGAAATCCGGCGAACATATAACGAGAATAAGCTAATCAAAAGTTCCGGCAGTTTTCAGTGAGTAATTTTAACAATCTTCTGTTTTCTAGCTAAATGTTTCGTAATCTATCATTTGCTTAACATTCTAATCGAGTACCACACTTTTTCAATGTCAGACTCAAAAACTGAGACTCAGACTCAGATTTTCAACCTACTAACTCTTGTCCTCAAAACATTCCGTTTCCAAAAAATCGCCTTATCTGAATCTTAAAGGAAAGCGTATAAAAATAAAGAATAAAATACACAATCCGAAAAGCAACTTGCCTAATTGAAACAGATGTCTGATATATATTTCAAGATTAATTAAAGTGTACCAGCATAGCCGCGAGTCAGAATATTCCAATAAAAGTCAACGTCTTACTCTGAGACGGGGTTCTCGCTTCGTAAAAGATTAAATCTCTGGGGATTGCCATAACTGCAGTTCTTACTTCCCTTTTTATGTTCCCCAAAGGGTTATGATAAACATTTTCTGAGTTCTGAACGTAACAGCATGCATATATGGTATATCTTTATTCTACAAGGAGTAATAACCACATTTTTTCGCTTATTATCAAATCAGAAATAAAGAATATATGATTGAAATTTTTATATTTACTTTGAAAAGAAACTATGGTTAATTTACTTCTTGGTCTTTTTGGAATGGGTCTCATTGGGATAATTAAAGTGTCGCATTGTATTTCTTGAGAAGAAGTGATTACTCATAAATGACTATTTGATTTAATGAGAAATATATTTAAAAGATTGCATAATTTTATATAAAAAAATCCAGTTAGGTTATCAAAACCTTTTCAGATTCGATCGTCTTTCCTTGAAAACCTTTAAAATCTTTCGGTTAAGAAGACATACTCACCCTGATTGAATTTCCTGGCAATCGCTTTCGATCGCATGATAATCTCCAAGAGTGACGTCATTAAACTAGACTATCTTTATATCCATGGCCAGAAATCAAAGACTCAGGTGAAAATCCTTTACCAATGCAAATGCACTCGGGCCAATGACATTGACATACTCCGCTATGCTTTTTCTCCCTCTTTACTTTCTCTCTGTTTCACTCACTTTTCCGACCTTTTTTGTTCAGTAGCAAGTTAAACCAAGAAGTCGAAACAATTAGAAATCACTTTTGCAAATCAAGAACACAAGTTTTTCCGGGGTGGACAACCGACACAATTGCATTTGCATAAAATCTCGACGTGGGCTTGGGGTTGGTGTTTATAAATTTGTGGCCAAGCCAGCAAAAAATCTTGCCAATGTCTGCCTTTTTTGTTGTTTGTTCTTTTTTTTTTTTTTATTATTTTGCTTGTTGCACACGCGTCTCGAAAAGTCAGTTAGTAGTGGGTAGTGGAAAAATCTCGGAGAAAAACCCAACAAAACCGACGGAAAAAAGGCGCTGTTGTTGTGGTACGAGTTTGAGTGCGAGTTGTTGTGGAAAAACAGTTTAAGGCACACACAGTTGGGAAATGCGAAATGCAAAATGCGAAAAATGGAACTGGAGCTGGAACCGGTGGAACTTGGAGAGCAAAAACCACCTGAACACACCTGCCCCACAAAGCTCCTCGAAAGCGACTGACGACGGAACTCGAGGCAGAAAACAGAGAACAGAAGCGGAAAACTGAAAACGGAAAATAAAGTGAGCGGAGCAGAGAACGTCGACTATTTCGTCTATGCGCTATAGTTTCTTTTTTTTCACTTTTTTTTATTCCACTCCCCCAGCTTTTCCACCATTCTACCGTTTGCTATTTTCCATACCAAGCCAAAAAAGAAGTAAGGAAAACCCGCCAAGGCAAGGAATAAAGGAGACTGACTATCGCGGTGGCAATTATGAAGGAACGGGTGGAGCTCCCGAAACTCCGTCGCACCACCAGCCAACCACACAGGCACGTGCTCGCCGTGGTAGTGGTAATTTCAGGTGTTTCAGTTGCGAGTGTGTGAGTGCGGGCAGCCAAAGGACACTAACGGCAAGGCACGAAAAACGCAACGTAATTCATGCAAATGAAGTCACGCAAGATTCCCCGCTCTGCTGAAGAGAGAGACAAGGGTCTCCCCAGGCCGCCAAATGAGACCTCGACGATTGCCCATCCAATGGGCTTTCACCTGGCCAAAAAAGAGTGGGAGGCAGGTGAAAACCTCATTGGCTGGGAGCTATAAAAAATAACAGTATGATTCCCAAAAATCTACCCAGTGTTAAGAATGAAGATGTTTTTATTATTAAATATATATTAATAACATATCAAATTAGAGATTAAATGAGATATTTCTCAAGATTTTCTTAACAAATCAACCCTTTAACTTATCCCTTTGACTTACCCTAAACCTATATTCCTTTCTTATTCCTTTGGATTACTTTATTTCTCTGATTTCCGAATATTGTTGATCCTTAAGTCTTGCCCAAGCAGCCTTTTTTGCAATTTCCCTCTGGAAGTCAGAGAAAAGTCGCTAACCTTGCTATCTTGGCCATCTATCTATATGGCTGTTATTAAAGCCCAACAGGCCGTGCACATGCCAAGTTTCGGGCCTAGGTCCTAGCTGCTTTGTGACCCCTTCTTAACCCCTCCAGAAACCCTCCTTTAACCTTCTTTATCACCCACTGGGAAAATATATGCAACACCCACTCCATTACCCCCCTTGACAACAGGACCACCCTCTGACCAATGGGCAGGCAAAAGGCACTACTGACGGGGGGGGGAGGAGGGTGTGTCCTGTCACATAGGGGGTGGTGTAGGTGGATGGGGAGTGTAGATTTGTCGCCTGCTCAGTCCGCGTGTCAGTCGTTTGTCATATAGGCCCGACAATGTCGGACGTCTGACGTCGTCGTCTGGAACTCTTTTCAAGTACATGCAATCAATATTTCGCTTGCATTAATTATTCATGCTAGAAGAGAGCCACCCCCTTGCCAAACCCCACCGCTCTCACTCACTCTTCACCCAACGCCCCTGGCCAGTCTGGATAATAATATTTCTGGCTTTAGTTGCGTTCCAATTCCAGCGCATTGCTGGCATTTTTTTGTTATTACCAAGCGAGAGGCGAGCAGGCTAAACCGAAAGAGAAGGAGCTACCCGAGAAGAAAGAGAAACATCCTAAAAAAAAAATGATTGAGAGGTGAATAGGCAGATCGGGTGGGTGGCAGAGCCGTAATAAAAGTAAGTCAGCCGAGGGAAAAACATTTGTTTTTGTTCCATCTCGTAAAATATATGCGAAGACTGTTCGCCAAAGTCCAAATCTTTTAACGATTGCTGTTCAGTTTGGGTCAGCTTTATGGAACGTATAATTGGCCCAAACGGATCTTGGCATCCAAATGCGCTGCGCCTTATTAATAATTGCAGTTTTCATAGCTGTTTATCTAACTCTTTGTACGTCATTTGGGAGGCGCCAAAAGTTTGGATTTTTTTTTTTTTGCAGGGTTGAGGCGGGAGGTGAGTACAAGGGGTGCTGCATTTTCAGGTCCATTGTTCTATTTATGCACTGCACTTGATCTTGCCAAAAACAAATATAAATTTACATAGTACATGCACACTGGAGGGCAGAACTTTGTTGGGATTTTAGCCAATTATTCCAAGGTCGTCTACTTGTGTGAGGAAAATGCCGTAGAGGAAAAAGTGGAACAAGGGGTGGGGTATGCTAAAAATACGATATAACAATGTCTATAATAGGGCATCGCGAAAGGAAATTAAATCATGCACCGGAAAAGTCTATATCAACAGACATTAGCGTGCAATAAAGGGAAAGCCCACTGGAAGATAACTCCTCGTTCCCATAGCTGGTAACGTACTCAAATCATTCGACGTAATACATCTTTTATCGTATAGTAGTAAAAAAGTAGTAGTAATAGTTTGCGCGTAAATAACAATGAGTGAATCATATTACGATTTTCAACGTATTTTTTATATTGTGATAATATTATAAATATTAAGAAATGGTTTTAATCTCATTTTAATGACACCTAGGCCCCGGTTTTTATAAACATGATGCCTAACATTTTAAAAATCCTTCCATTTTTTAACTATTTTAATTATAAACAGTTTAGCAGGAATAGCCAAGCTGACCCCAATAGTAAGACTCCACGTTTCTTAATTAAGAGGTAACTTCAAAATTATGGCCGCCCTACAAGGCAAAGGGAAAGGAAAGTCTTTTCATTATCCCAGTGGCGAGTTTCTCATTAATTTCATAGCTGGGAAAGGGGGGTGCGGATGGAGGAATTGGAGAGTGGCCAGGAGCAAAGTGAAATAATTTTCAGCGCACTTTTAATTATCAGGAAATTACAAACACGCATCGGGTACACAAAAACATATAAACATTTATTTTGTATATAGTTGGGGGGATGCAATTTTCAGTATGAGGTAATCGTGCAGCAGTCTCTGCCACCCATCTACACACACACACCCACACACACACAGACAATGCCACACACGCGCACTAATACAGACAAACGCTGGCTTCTGACTGGCGGGCATTCAATGGAGTTGTTGGTGTTGTTGTCGCCATTTCGCTGTCGTCTCCCTTATCTCTCTGTCATTATCTCTCTCTCTATTTGGGGAAGGGGATGGGTAGTACAGGTGAGGTGATGGGGAAAGCAGAGAGCGACTGTCATTCGTTTGTCATCGTTCGGCTTCGACTGACTGAGCGAAGAACTTTTTGGCGTCCCAGCAGCAGCAACATGCAGCCGCATTCTCTCTCGCTCGCCCCCTCTCTTTCTGCCGCGTCTGCGCTTTAATTTGGGGTGGAGCTTTGTCCAAAAGAGAGCGTTGGAGAAAGAGAGATTGAGTACCGCGGCGAATTCACCAGGTAGCCTTGTTGCTCTCTTGTTGCTGCTGGCATTTGATTAATGAAGTGTGTTAAGAGGTTACCAGCCAAGGACAAAGACTCTCCAAGAGGTCCTTGACTGTGGCAGGAACAAACATACATACGTACATATACATAAAGATATCTCTAGGAACAGACAACTGGGGGCGTGGTCTCTGTCGAAGTTGCTGCCGTGTCGCAGTTACTGCTGCTGTTGCTGTTATCATATCTCTCAGTCGCTGCTCATTTGGCGCTCTCTATCTCATAGGATATGGCCATCCCGCTCGCTCATCTGTTGCTGCTGCTGTTGCTCTTTCGTTTTGGCCCTCGTTGCGTATACGTAATGTGCGCCAAATTGTGTCGCCACACTGTCGTTGGTCCATTGATGTGCGCTGATAGCGACAGTGGGCAGAAGCAGCGACGCAGCAGAAGCAGAAACATCAGGCAGCAACAACTTTTGCACAAAATGGCGTTGGCAGGTACATATATATACAGATATATAAACATAAAAAAAAAAAACACAAACCCACACAGACACAAAGCCACATAGATATACACCTTTTCAAAACACCCCCGTCCAACCATAACTCCACTTTATCATTCGTCGTCGGCGATATCTCCAACTTGGCAGCGCAACTTTCTTGTGACTGTAAAAATAAACAAAGGGAGCAAAAAATAAAGAACAAACAAAAACTCTGCCGCAAAAAGAGGCAACTCTTTGTTGTTGTTGCTCTTGCTGTTGTTGTTGCTGCTGTTGATGTTGCTGCTGCTGTGTTTATTGCCTTCAGCTGCCGTAGCTGCCGAAGCACTGAGTTTTATGTCTTCATTAACTGAAAAAGTTATGAGCCATGGCTGCGGGGATGGCTTAAGGGAAGAAGAAAGGCTGGAAAGTGGCAGCAGAAGTCAGGGAATGGAGGTGGACATAACGAAGGACAGACCTGACCACAGCATCCATCTGTAAAAGTCGTAATTGGACTTGGGCTGATGGTTGACAATATTCCCCTTCCCATTCCATGCAACAACAACGTGGAGTTTAGTAAGTTCTAAAGACATTTTTTGTGATCTGCGTCATGGTAATCAGTTTTAGTCATGTGCAGATTCTATGCTTACAACGATGGTTTCTGAGGTGGCACAGTGGTTGGGAACTGAACTAAATTATTCAAAAAATGAAAATAATAAACAATACAAGAAACGTTTTAAGGTTGGAAGGGAAGGGGAAGCTAAAAAGTTGGGAAATCTCTTACTGTCTTACTATTTATAATATAATAATAATAATATTTATTAATTAGAAATCCTAATGAAAGCTAAAACCTTTTCTTAATATGTTAGTTTAACTTTCTAGCCACTTGCCCCACTGTTTACCGTTGATAACTCATTTCACGTGTCTAGATAGTATTACAGAACGCGTAGCACCGAGCTCTACTTACCGTCTCGAAAATCGTTTGGGTGACGTTCTGAGATATTGGTTTATTTTTTTTTTTTACTACTCGGTACTCGTAAAACTCAGTCACAGTAGCCGTCGTTGTTGTTGGCCCTGCGTGTGTTTTTTGCTGCTTCTGGTCAAGTCATCAGAAAAGCGTTGTCGTTGTCGTGGCTGTCGTCGTTGTCCAATATTGTATGGTTGATTCCACACAGGTCTCACCAGTTAACTTCGCTCCACTGATGCGCTTTTTTTCAATTTGTCACGTACGTTGGACTTTTTCGATTTTCATCTCATTACGTTTGGGAGACAGAGGGTGCGAGTGAGATAGCCCAGGTCTTTGTACCCTGGAAGAGCGGCAGAACGACCC